CCCTGCACTGCCTTTGGTCTGGAGCATGTTTCTCGGCACTTAAATTCTTTGTTCTCTCACCAGCCTTGGTAGGTGCATGTCCTCACACTGCGGAGTCCCAGTGGGCAGAGCTTGTACTGAGCTTTCAGGTGCTTTAGGAATTGTTGCACTCCATGAATGGATCTTTTCCCAGCACCATTTCTCCATCCCCTGCTTCAGCAGGAGCTTGGTTGTGCAGAAGTGTTTGTGCTCAGCTTACTGAGGCTGAAATGCCCAGCTCGGGGTGCAGCGCTGCTTCATGTGTAACTTACCGTGTTTGTCCCTGTACTGGACTCACTTGGGAGCTGGAAATTCACTGCCTTGCTGTGTGAGAGTGTTTGCATGGAGGAGCCACGCAGGGGCTCATAAAGAGCAGCCAAGATTGCCTCTCAGAGCCCTGTACCCAAGCCTTCAGGCAATGCCCAACCTGGGAAGGGAGTATTATGTGAGCTGCTGGGCCCTGTTTGATTCAGTGCCATCAGCAAGAGAGAAGGAGGTGTGAGCCCTGATGCAAATAGGGGCCATTCACACATCCTCAACTGGGAGATATTCTACTCTCCTCTTCATTGAAGAGCTGTTTGCAGGTAGGACAGAACCCCCAGGCTGCTGCCCTGGCCTGAGGTCTGGCTCTGGAGGGAGCTGAGTTGTGTTCAAGGCTGCTGCTGGCTCAGAGAGAGCTCTAGCATCTGGACTCTGTTGTGGTTTATCCAATACCAGATCACAGGCTCACATCAGGCAGTGCAGCACTGTAGCTGCTTTGGGCTTCCCTTCCCTTCTCAAGTCCTCCTCTCAGGGATGAGGACAGCAGTTAACAGCTCAGCAGTGTGCAAGAGTCTGAAGGCTACTAGGGCTGAAGTCTTCAGTAGCTGTAGGATGGGGATTGCTTCAAGTCACTATTGATCAGAAAGGTGGGTCCCGTTTGGGCTGAGCTGCAATGGGCCAGGAGTTTCCTTCAGTCTCTTCTCATCTTCTGTATTCCAGGTGACTTAACCAAATTCGGCCGAGGTGATGCCTCTTCCCCTGCTCCTGCAACGACTCTGGCCCAGCCCCAGCAGAGCCAGACCCAGACCCACCACACCACACAGCAGACGTTCCTGAACCCGGCGCTGCCTCCTGGCTACAGTTACACCAGTCTGCCCTACTACACAGGGGTACCAGGGCTCCCCAGCACCTTCCAGTACGGGCCCGCCGTGTTCCCTGTGAGTTCCGCAGGGGCAGGCAGTGGGATTTGGGCAGGAGGGGCAGTACAGAGAGGCCCCTCCTCACTCTCCTGCTGCTCTCCTTCCTGTAGGTTGCTCCTACCTCTTCCAAGCAGCATGGTGTGAATGTCAGCGTCAATGCATCAGCAACCCCTTTTCAGCAGCCCAGTGGCTATGGCTCTCATGGATACAGCACTGGTAAGAGACCCAGCATCTACCTCAGCAGCAGGCACTGACACTGCAGTTCCCAGTCTCTCTGGTCATCTAAGGGTACTGCTGTCTTGCACTCTGTGCCTTCCACTGTGCCCAGCAGTTGAATGGGTTGGGCCTTGCACTTTTATCAGGGGCTTTTCTTCTTTTTACTGCCTGTCTGTGATCAATAGAACACTAATTGTCCAGGATTGGAGCCTGGGAACTGGATTGACTCGTGTGTTGGGCAGATCCATGCTTCCTAGAGAAGTGTCCTTGATTCAGAGATCTGAGGAGGTCACGAACCTGCCACTTGTCTCAGTACTGGTGTCACTGGTTAATATCTGCCTGGGTTTGGGTCCCTCTTCCAGTCTTTAAATCCTGGTGTGCTTTTTCCACTACGTTAGAGACCTTCAAGACACAGTTTTCCCTTTGCGAAGCTAGTTCAGCTCTGTCCCGACTCACTGGTGCTGAGGCTTTCAGACCTCTTTCATTTCAACACCTGTTCTGGGCCTTAAATGACTGCTGAGGCTCTCCTCTGTCCCACCACCTTTGAAAACACAGGCTGTGTGCCAGTGTTGCCAGTTGCTGCACCAACTGTCCCGGCCCACAGCTGAGTCCCCTTTACATGCAGTTGCCTGTTTGACACCCAAGGAGCTCTCTTGCTGCTGTGCTACATGCTGGGAGCTTGTTTTCTTCTCTGTCTGCTGCATCCCCTACAGCTTTTCTCAGAGTTGCTGTTTTCTGGGCTCTTCAAGAACATGCATTTCTCTGAGTGGCAGCAAGAGGCATTCAGAAACTGCTCATGTCCAGAGTAAAAGATCTTCCACTGATACAGGCCCTCTGCAGCTTGGCCTCACCAAAACCCCGCTGCCCAGGATGCGTCTGTCTCTAGCCCTTCCCTGGCTGCAAGCCACTAGAGCTCTCCACCACCTCATGCTGGTGTTAGCATTGATCACTTGCCTTTCCTTCTCCCCAGGTGTATCTGTGACATCCAGTAACACGGGAGTGCCGGACATCTCGGGCTCTGTCTACTCCAAAACTCAGGTTAGTGTCTGCAGTGTGCTCAAGGAAGCCTCCCTGGGCAGTGAGGTGTTCCCCTTGGAGCAGCCAGGCAGGGAGAAGGGAAAGGCCCTTCCAACCTCGGGCAGCTCCAAGCCCAGAAAGAGCCATAGGCAGAGCTTCTGCTCCACACACTCTGACTTGTGGAGGTGGGAAGGGACACGCTGCTATCCCGGGACAGGGCAGCGCCACCCGTCACCCAGCCCTTATTCCATCATTGGCATCTCCTCCTCAGCAATCCTTCGAGAAGCAGGGATTTCACACTGGAACCCCGGCAGCTTCCTTCAACCTGCCTTCGGCGCTGGGCAGCGGCGGCCCCATCAACCCTGCGACGGCGGCAGCCTATCCCCCCACCCCGTTCATGCACATCCTGACCCCGCATCAGCAGCCCCACTCGCAGATTCTCCACCACCACCTGCAGCAGGACGGGCAGGTAAGCAGCTCCCCCAGCCCCTGGCCTTTGCTGGGGTATCTCCTAGGGCTTTCCCCCTGCCTCCCCTGGCCCCCCCCCCTCCCTCCCTCCCCTCATGCCCTGCGGCGGACACACGTGAACACGCGTGACACGCACATGCTCACACCTGCACATACACACAGGGCCGAGCAGAAGACGAGGTGAGGAAGGGCCGGGGTGTGCTCTGCTGGGGGGTCCTCGGCACAGCCCCCTTGCTGCCGGGCTGGACAAGGTAGGGTCGGGTAGTGCCCCTCCACGCAGACATGCCTGGTCTGCCCTGAGCTCCCCCGTTCCTCTTCAGGCCAGCAGCAAAGGGGTTACTTGCCAGAGCCACGACCCCGCCATAGCTTTCAGGTCTAACCGTGGATTTCTATTGTCATAGTTTGTCCCTTTATTTTTACATATCCTGGTACTGCAACAGCTTCCATATTTGCAGATGATACTGTGCTGCCAACGCCAGCAGGAAGATCAGGTAATGAACCTCTCTGATAATGCATTGCACTTGCCCTGGGGTCTCCCCCTGCCCCTAAGGCCCCCCAGGCTCACGTAGCCCCTTCCTTCTCCCCCGTTGGCCCTTTGAGGCGAGGAGAGAGGCCCTCAGGCAGTATGTGGACACACACACACCCGCGCGCACAGACACACACCCCTGCTCTAACCCTTTTCCCACCTTTCCCCCCCTCCCTGCCCTGCAGCAGCCCCCACAGAGCCGCAGGGGCCCTCACTGCCTGCGCTTCTGCCGTGGTGCTGCTCTGGAGGCAGGCGCAGAGCAGAGGGAGGGTCCTGTGGCTGCTGTGGCTCTGTGAACGCCGCAGCACCCGTGGCTCAGCACCCTGCAGAGCAGGCTGGGATTGGGACCCTAGAGGTGACAGTGCCGATTCCCCTCTCCATAACCACACACTTCTCCTCCCACAGAGCGGCTCCGGACAGCGCAGCCAAGGCAGCTCCATCCCCCAGAAATCCCAGGCCAACAAGTCTGCCTACAACAGCTACAGCTGGGGAGCCAACTGAGGCCGGGGCCACCCTCGCCCCCCACTCACTTCTGGAGGAGCATCCCACCAAGCCTGACACCGAAGGGTCCTGGGGAGGAGTGGTTGGTAGCAGGGCAGCCCCAAGCTCACAGCCCCTGGCAGGGCAAGCCAGCAGCCGCCTCCTCTGTCTTCAGCCACCTTTTCCTCTTGTATGTAATATAGAATTTGTATTTTTTTTTTCTTGGTTTTCTCTTTTTTTTTTTTTTTTTCCCCTTTTCTCCCCTCTCTCTGCATTCAGCCTCCGAACCGTTTGCCGTAGGGGCCTTTATTGGTTTTGACTCCTTTCTTTCACCCCACTCCACCTCCTGCTGCCCCCCAGAACCTGTCGGATCCAAAGGAGTGGAAGCTGCGAGTCGCCTACAGCAACCCCCCCTTATTATTAGGAAATAAGAACAGTAATTGATATGAACAGCATTGTAAGATGAATTAGTTGAAGTGGTTTTTTTTTTTTTTGTACCGTGTTCTAAATTTAATGGATAAATGTGTCTTGTATATAAAAACAAAAACCCCACTACGTCCTCCATGTCTCTCATTTCCTTGCTCTCCCTTTGCTGCCCCAGAGTGGGTGTCCTGTACCCCCCGATTTACTTTTGCCCCCTCCACCTTGCACGCTGTAAGTACCTTCTGCTTTTGGGCTCCAGGTTGGGGTTTTTGGTTGTTTTCTATGCAGTCAGATCTTGTCTTTTTTAAGTTCCAAACGCAGCCCCTGGGCGGAGGGGCGCTTCACTAAAGAGAATAAAGACCACAAAGTCATGTGTGCATCTTTTCCTCCCTCCCTTCCCTGCCTGGCTCCGTCTTTTTGGGGCACGGAGCAGGTTCTCCTGCCTCCCCCTTCCCGGGTTTATAGCGCCCTTCTGTGGCTCTTTCCCGGGCACCGGGATACCCTTGTCCCTGCCCCGGGTCCCGCCTCGTGCTGCGGATGGGGAGCGGAGCCCAGCGGGAGCGACGGGAGGCGGGAAGGTAGAGCCAGGCGGCGGGGCTTAGGACCCGGCGGCTCCCCTGGCGCTTCGCGACAACCGGCGGCGCTTTACGGCAGCGCGACGCGGTGGTAGTGCGACGCGGTGGGAGCGGACGGCGGCGATGAGTTTCTACGATGCGTTTCGGGGCTTCTTCGGGTTCCCGGGGCCGCGGAGGTACCGGTTAACCCCCCGTTGCCACCCTCGCCCTTCCCGGTTAAACCCCGTCCCCATTAACCCCCCCGGCCCCGGCTGCTCCGGTGTCTCAGCGCCGTGGTCCCGCAGGCCCCGGGACCCGCTCTTTGGCGGCGCGACGTGGGACGAGGACGAGGATGGTGAGGACGGCCCGTCTCTGGCGCAGCCCCCCCCGCACTTCGGCTTCGGGCCCCGCGGTGCCTTCGAGGAGCTGTTCCGGGACGTGGGCGAGCTCCTGGGGGTGTTCGGCGGCGCCTGGGCCGGGCTCCCGCTGCCTTCCGGCGGGCAGGAGGAGCGGCTGCCCCCCCCTGAGCCTGCATTGCCCAGCCCCGGCGAGGGGCGGCCGCTGCGGGACTCAATGCTGAAGCACCCAGAGAGCCCGGCCCAGCCATGGAGCCCCTTCCTGGGGGTGAGTGAGGCGCGGGGCCGGCGCTGGTGGTCGCTGGGGTGTTCTCTGTGTCACTAGTGCGTGCGTTGCTTTGCAGCTGGACAACGCTCCCCCGTCTCCTCCCAGCCTCAAGGCAGATCAGGGTGAGTGCCACAGGGTCCCTGCCCACCCTGCCCCACGCTGCTGTCACCATCTCACGTCTCCCCCATCCCCAGACCTGGACTCGCAGGTCTCCTCCGCAGGGCTGGGCACCATCCTGAGACCCAGCGAGCCCAAGGCTCACTCTTACTTCCAGAGCGTCTCTGTCACCAAAGTGACTCTGCCTGATGGGGTGAGTGTCCCCTGAGGGGAGAGCGGGTGACTGGGGGACACTGTCCCCAGTGCAAGGAGCGGAGCCAGGGCTCGTGGTGGGGCTCAGGGCTTGGTGGTGCTCTGCACAGGCAGTGGAGGAGCGCCGCACCGTGCAGGACAGCCAGGGCCACCGGGAGACAACGGTGACACGCCGGAGGGGGAACCAGGCTTTCATCACCACCACCAAGGAGGACGGGCAGAGCAAAGACTACCGAGAGGAGGTGGTCAATATGGATGACCGTGAGTGGGACACTAATGAGGGTGAGGGGAGCAAGGCAGGGCCCCCATGAGCCAGCTCTCCTTGCTCTCCTTGCTCTCCCAGGGGAGCTGGCGCAGTTCGCAGGCACGTGGCCGCCAGAGGACAATCTCCACCCTCCCAACCTGAGCGACCCGTCCTCTGCGCTGGGCAGCTTCTTCCGACGCTGGTTCTCAAGCTGGTAGCTGTGCCCAGCCTGGCTGAGCACCCCGTAGGTGTAATGGGTGGGGGGACCCTGGGTCTCACCAGGGCCATGGGGATGGATGAATGGATGGGTGGACACCAACAGCAGCCTCTTCTCACCACCTGTTCTGTTGCAGATGGATCAGATCCTGCTGGGAGCTGGTCTCTGGGGGCTGCCCATCTTCTGCAGAAGGACCCCTTGGGGGGCTGAGTGTGTGTGTGCATGTGTGTACAGAGAAATAAAGTCTATTTATGCTAATGGTGACCTGCCAGGCTCCTTCAGGCCAGAACCTGCCCGATGCAGAGCCAGGAACCCACCAGGTGGCTCCTGGGTGCAGGCAGTGATGGGCTGCTTTGTGCTGATCCCTGCCCACCATGTCTGGTCTCCTGTGCTCCTCTCAAGGGACCAGGCCAGGACCCACTCCAAGGCTTCTTCATTACCTTCATTAGCGCTGCCTGTGAGCAGGGATCCGGCAGGGAAAAGCAGAGCTCCCTGGAGCACACCCGCCTGTGCTGGCTCAGCAGAGCCTGGGGACCTGCGGGGGCTCTGCTCCTACCGAGGCCACACTGCTGTCCCCAGCCCCACGCAGGACTCTGGTCCCTGTGAGGCGTCTCCCTGTGCTGTGGCTCCGATTGGTGTAAAGTCTGCACGTTATCACCCAGCACCAGGGCTCATAAAACCTGGCTGGGAGAGAGCCCGGCATCACCGCTGCCGCTGCCTGCTCCTGGCCAGCCCCATGGGCACCACTTCCTTCTTGGCAAGCGCCCGGGCTCTGCTCCACATCCAGAACCAGCTGGTGCGGGAGTGCCTGGCTGAGATGCTGGCCGTCCTCGTGCTCATTGTGAGTGGGAAACGGGGGGTTTGGGGCAGACACTGGGGGACCCCAGAGCAGGGGGGTTTGGGGCTGCACTGTGCTCGTGAAGGAATTACCTGGCCTCCTGCTTGGACCTGGGACATGCTGCACCACAGTGGCTCGGGCACAACATGGGCACGGGAGCTGCCATATGGCTCCTGAGGGAGCAGGGCTGGGTAGCACGGACCTTGACACCTCCTGCCCTGCCTCAGGCAAAGGTTGGGGCTCTGGGGCTGCATCCTGAAGGGCAGCACCTCTTCCCCGCTGCCTGCTCAGGAAGGACACAGCAGACTTTGCAATTAGAACCACGATCTGCAGCAGTTACCACCTCCCTGCTTGCCTCTGTATAGTGCCCGAACCTGGAGCCAGGGGATGCGGGATGGAGATGGTGCAGGAGGCAGCACTGGAGCAGCCCTCACCTGCCTGATCCCCTGCTGCCTGGGAGCAGGCTGGGGGCTCGGTGAGGGGCTGTGCTGGAGCCATGTCCCTCTCCTGCAGCTCATCACCCTGAGTGGCTCAGCACAGATGGTCACCAGCTCCGAGTCCAAGGGGAGCATCCTCACTGCCTACCTGGCAGGCGCCCTGGCCGTCATGGTGTCCATCTATATAGCAGGGGGAGTCTCTGGTGAGGCTGGGGAGGACACCCTGCTCCCGCTGTCCCCTGGCTCCAAGGACCCCCTGCTCCCACCCCTCTCCCCACTCCGTTGCAGGGGCCCACCTGAACCCAGCGTTCTCCCTCGCCATGTGTCTCCTGGAGCAGTTTCCCTGGTGGAAGTTGCCCATCTTTGTGGCTGTGCAGACCTTGGCAGCGTTCATCTCTGCTGGAGCTGTCTACGCTGTCTACTATGGTACAGGGCTGGGGGCCCGTGTCCAGTGCTGGTGTCAGGGTGACTGGGGTCCCCACACAGGCTCTGCCTTTGCTCTGCAGATGCCATCCATCACTACAGCAACGGGACCCTCACTGCCTCCGGCCCCCGGGAAACCGCCTCCATCTTTGCCACCTACCCCGCTGACTACCTGTCCCTCTCCAATGGCTTCTTGGACCAGGTGGGTGCCAGGGTTGGCTCCCCCCAGCCTGGTGGCGGCACCGGTGCCCCCAGCACTGAGCTGTCACTCCGTCCCTGCAGGTGGTGGCCACGGCGCTGCTGATAGTGGGCATCCTGGCCATGCTGGACACCCACAACAAAAGTGTCCCCAAGGGCCTGGAGCCGGTGGCAGTGGCCCTGCTGGTGTTCTCCCTCGAGGTCTCCCTGGGCTCCAACTGCAGCTGCCCCATGAACCCCGCACGGGATTTTGGGCCCCGACTCTTCACCTATGTGGCAGGTTGGGGCACAGAGGTATTCAGGTGGGTCGAGGTAAGGGCGTGAAGGTGGGGAGCATGGGGGTGACGCCTTGCCCACTGTGCCCCGTGCCCAGCAGGGGCAATGGGTGGTGGTGGGTGCCGGTGGTGGCACCAATGCTGGGCGCCGCCGTGGGCTCAGCCCTGTACCAGCTCCTCGTGGCGTTTCACCACCCGCTCTCGGAGGGCGCCGCCGCAGCCGAGCAGAGCCCCCCGGTCCCCAGCAGCGCCGCCGTCCCCACGGACCCCAAGACCTCACCGGCAGAGAAGGACACCAGGAGGCCGCTGTCCCAGAAGTGACGCTGTAGACACCCCCTTTCCCGAGCCAGCGGCACCGGCCCCCCACGGCCCCCATTGCACCAATAAACGAGCCCTGAGGCCGTGGAAGTGTCCGTGGGGTGTTGATGGGGTCTCCATGGGGTGCCCACGCCGCGGCCATGGGTTGTCTATGGGGTGTCCGTGGGGTGCCACCCCCCGCTCCCAGGACCCCGCTGCCGCCCTCCGGGGGCCGCCCCGTTCCCGGTTCCATCCCGGTTCTCTCCCCCCCCATCACTTCCGCCGCCGCCCGGCGCCGCCGCGACCATGGGGCGCTGAGCCGGCGGCAGCAGCGCGGCAGCGGGAGCGGGGCCGTAGTGGCCCCGGTACCGGCCCCCGGCCCCGGCCGCCCTCCCGTTCCCCATGGGCTGCGGGGCCGCGGGCCATGGAGCGGTGCGCAGCCCGCCGGGCCCCAGGTGAGCGGGGTGGGGGGAGGCCGGCAAGGCCTCGGCAGGCCCCGGTGGGCCCCGGTACCGCGGCGGAGCGGGATGGAGCCGCAGCCGTGGCCGTGCCCTGGGGGATGCCCGAGGAGTGGCCGCGGGTCCGGGAGTCCCGCGGGACGGTGCGGGCGCGGCGGGGCCGGGCCGGGAGGGTTCGGGGTCTGGGGTCTGAGGGCAGCGGCCGGGCTGTGTTGCAGAGGAGGAGCGGCGGGTGCGAGCCAACGCGCGGGACTACAACGAGAAGTTCCAGTACGCAGTGAGTGCGCTGGGGGGGTGGGAGCGGGTCAGCGCCGGGGGGTACGGCTAAAATGAGGTGTTTATCCCTGAGACAATTGTGCTGACGAGCATCGCACGGCACTGCATTGCATGGCACTGCATGGCACAGCACTGCATTGCACGGCACTGCACAGCACAGCACTGCATTGCACGGCACTGCACAGCACAGCACTGCATGGCACGGCACTGCATCACATGGCACTGCATTGCACAAGACTGCACAAGACTGCATGGCACAGCGCTGCACTGCACAGCACTGCACTGTGGTCCCTGGGTACCAGCTGCTCCCTGGGTACTGGTTGCTCCCTGGGTAGAGACAGGTCCCTGGGGACTGGTGGGTGACCCAGGGGAAGAAATCTGCTTCTTGAGGAAGAGTTAGAGGAGGGGTAGGAGCTGCTGGGCTGAGATCCCAGGTTAGGGCCATGGTGAGCTGCAGCTCTCAGAGTGATGCTGGGGGGCCACGGGGGCCTCAGCAACTCATGAACCCCCCTTTTGTCCTGTCCATCCCCAGAGCAACTGCATCAAGACCTCCAAGTACAACATCATCACCTTCCTGCCTGTCAACCTCTTCGAGCAGTTCCAGGAAGTGGCCAACACCTATTTCCTCTTCCTCCTCATCCTGCAGGTGAGTGCTCGGGTCCTGAGGAGGCAGATGGGGCTCCTCCGTGGTCTCCTTCCCTGGCTGGGCAGCTGGGGGGGCCCAGGACACATCCTGCCATTGGGAAGTGTGGGTCCCCCCCAGCTCCCACTCTCTGTCCCCAGCTGATCCCGCAGATCTCTTCACTCTCCTGGTTCACCACCATCGTGCCTTTGGTTCTTGTCTTAACCATCACAGCTGTCAAAGATGCCACGGACGACTATGTGAGTGGTGCCCCTCTGTCCGGGCCAGGGGACTTGGGGCTGTGACCTCAGTGCGGGTGCGCAGGGGTAGGGCTGCAGGGCCCCATCCCCAGCGGGGCTGACGCCGCTCTCTTCCCCTCTGTACCCAGTTCCGCCATAAAAGTGACAACCAGGTGAACAACCGGCAGTCTCAGGTGCTCATCAGCGGAGTGTGAGTGTCACAGGGACAGGACAGCCAGGGAGGTGGCACGGCCCCCCCTGGACATGGCACAGGGCTACAGGCAGGGGAACAGAGCGCGGCCAACTCCTGTTGAACTCCACTGCGCTGTCCCCCTGCAGCCTCCGGCAGGAGCAGTGGATGAACGTCCGTGTTGGAGACATCATCAAGCTGGAGAACAATCAGTTTGTGGCGGTGAGTGTGGCCCCAGCACGGGAGCGGTCCTGGCTTGGTGGCGCACAGGAACAGTGGCATGGCACGGTGCTCCTCCGTCACCTCCTGGGGTGGACGTGTCAGGGACTTCCCTGCTGGGAAGTTGCATTTAGGGTGAAGCATTGGAGCTCTGGGGATTTGCCTGATGTGGGTCCTTCAGGAGCTGGTGTCCAGGGTGCCAACAGCACCATGCTGAGGACACCCGGTACTGGACCCCGCTGGCCCCTGGCTCCCCTGGGGAAGGTGTAGGGGACCCGGTGTCAGCAAAACCCTTCCCATATCTCTCCTGGCAGGCTGACCTCCTCCTGCTCTCCAGCAGTGAACCCCATGGGTTGTGCTACATAGAGACTGCAGAGCTGGACGGGTAGGTCACCCCTGCTCGCCTCGAGTGACAGGGGGAGGCGAGAGGTAGGACTGAGATCAGGGCAGGGCAGGAGCTGCTGGGGACCCAAACCTAGGGAGCATCTGCTGCCTCTAACCCCACGTGTGGTGCCTCCTTGCTTGCAGAGAGACCAACATGAAGGTGCGGCAGGCCATCCCCGTCACCTCAGAGCTGGGTGACACCAGCAAGCTGGCTCGGTTTGATGGTGAGTACCTGGGACCAGCCCCTGCGTTTTCTCCTCCATCATCTTGGCGTGGGCCCACCCTGGAGAGACCAGGAGCATCCCTGCACTGTTGTGGTCCTATGGTTTGAATCAGATCTCTGGGGAGCTGGGGACGGTGCTGGGAGCACTGGGATGGAGCTGAGCATGTGGAGAAGGCACGTTACAGCCAAGCCATCCCCTGCCCCCAGGTGAGGTGATCTGTGAACCCCCCAACAACAAGCTGGACAAGTTTGGAGGGATGCTGTACTGGAAGGAGAACAAGTACCCCCTGAGCAACCAGAACATGCTGCTGCGGGGCTGCGTCCTGCGCAACACCGAGTGGTGCTTTGGCCTCGTCATCTTTGCAGGTGGGTGGGGACAGCAGCCACCCCTGTCCTGCACACAAGGGGGAAAGCCCCTGAGACCCTTCCCTCCTCCAGGGCCTGACACCAAGCTCATGCAGAACAGCGGCCGCACCAAGTTCAAGCGGACAAGCATTGACCGGCTGATGAACACGCTGGTGCTCTGGGTAGGCAGGAGGCAGATCCCAGGGAGCCCCGGCTGTGGCCTCCTTTGGGCTCTGATGTTCTGTCCTGTCCCCAGATCTTCGGGTTCCTGGTGTGCATGGGGGTGATTCTGGCCATTGGCAATGCCATCTGGGAGCATGAGGTGGGCGTCTGCTTCCAGATCTACCTGCCCTGGGACGAGGGGGTGCACAGTGCCTTCTTCTCGGGCTTCCTCTCCTTCTGGTCCTACATCATCATCCTCAACACTGTGGTGCCCATCTCACTCTACGTAAGGTAGGGCAGTGACCGAGGGGCTGGGGATGTGCGAGGGGCAGGCACCAGGAATTAGGGGTGCCCTCTGGGGAGGGGAGATGGGGATGGAGACCCACGGGTAGAGCTGTGTGCATGGGGTGGGCGCGGGCTGCTCTCCTGGTGATGGGCCATGTCTGCCCTTGGGGATACCCCAAGACCTGAGACCCCACAGGTCCCTCGGGCCCCCCCGGCTGTGTCTGGCTGCTCGTCTCTCCCTGCCCTGGCTGCATGCTGGTTATTTTGCTCTGCCTTCCTGCAGCTCCCAGGCTCCTGCACTGTCCCCTTCTCTCTCTCTTTTAATTTCTCTCTCTTTTCGTTCCCCAGCATGGGTTCTGTCACCCTTAGCCCCGAGGTAAGAACGTGTCGCCCCCACCCCTGCCACTAGTTCATTGCTGTCTGCCCTAGGGGCTGGGAGGGGGTTTGGGGACATGGCCAGGTCGCCCTGCGGGCTCCCTCCTCGGTGCCAGGCCTTGCGACCCCAGCCCTGGCTTGGCGGTGGCTGTTGGTAGGAGCGGGTGCAGGCCAGCCCCGGGGAAGGGTGCGGGAGCCAGCAGGTAGCATGGGGGCCCTGGGTGCGGGGTGACCCAGGCAGTGGGGGCCTGGGGAGGGGGGGTGCCCGTCACTGGCCCAGCAGAGCTGCCATGGCCCGGTGACACGTGGCTGTCCCCCCGCAGTGTGGAGGTGATCCGCCTCGGGCACAGCTACTTCATCAACTGGGACAAGAAGATGTACTGTGCCAAGCGGCGGACACCAGCCGAGGCTCGGACCACCACCCTCAATGAGGAGCTGGGGCAGGTGGAGTACATCTTCTCTGACAAGACTGGCACCCTCACCCAGAACATCATGGTCTTCAGCAAGTGCTCTGTGAACGGGCACAGCTACGGTGAGCGCAGGGCACCGGGGGTGGGCTGGGCATGCCCGCAGGGGGTGGCTGCACCAGGTCCCCTCCTGCAGACCCTGGGGGATGAGAGGGCTCAGCCATAGCATGGGGGCACCCCTGGGCATGGGTGCTGGTGGAGCCACAGCGGTGGGGCCCTTTCCTGGTTAACCTGTGCCCTGGTTCACAGGTGATGCGCAGGAAATGCTGGGCCACAAGGCAGAGCTGGGAGAGGTGAGAGTGCCACAGGGCTGGTGCCTGGCCGTGCTGCTGCCTGCAGCGGCGTAACCTCACCTCTGTCCCTGCCAGCGGCCAGAGCCGGTTGACTTCTCCTTCAACCCACTGGCGGACCCCCGGTTCCAGTTCTGGGACCCCAGCCTGCTGGAAGCCATCAAGCTGGGCGAGCCCCACGTGCATGAGTTCTTCCGTCTGCTCTCACTCTGCCACACCGTCATGTCCGAGGAGAAGAGCGAAGGTGGGTGCAGAGGACAGGACCTGTCCCTGCTCCCTGCGTGCCTTGGGCTGTGGCACAGCCTCACCCCTTTCTGTCCCCAGGGGAGCTCTATTACAAAGCTCAGTCCCCAGACGAGGGAGCCCTGGTCACAGCCGCCAGGAACTTCGGCTTTGTGTTCCGGTCCCGTACCCCCAAGACAATCACGGTGCACGAGCTGGGCCGAGCCATCACGTACCAGCTGCTGGCCATCCTGGACTTCAACAACATCCGCAAGCGCATGTCTGTCATCGGTGAGACCCTGCGCCCGGCACAGTGGCTGGGAGGGCTGTGGGCTTGCAGCGGTGGGCTTGGGGACCAGCCCCATGCAAATGGTGACATGACTGCAGAGGCATCATCGGCTCAGGGCTGGAGGTAGGGGTGGGACCTGCTCCTGCTCCCCTGCGCCAGGCAGCTTGTGCCCTGCTCCCCACAGTGCGCAGCCCCGAAGGCAAGATCCGGCTGTACTGCAAGGGTGCTGACACCATCCTGCTGGAGCGCCTCCACCCCATCAACCACGACCTGACCAATGTCACCACTGACCACCTCAATGTGAGTGTGGCAGGGTCCTGCTGCAGGGCTGCGGAGGGAAGAGGGGCTGCCCACAGGTGTGGAGCCTGGCTTGTGCCCTGCCCTGGAGGCCATCAGGGTCTGGGGACACCATCAGGGTCTGTCCCTTCACCCAACTCCGGCCACTGCAGGAATATGCTGGCGAGGGGCTGCGGACACTGGTGCTGGCCTACAAAGACTTGGAGGAGAGCTACTACGAGGAGTGGTCTGAGCGGCTGCACCGAGCCAGCAGTGCCCATGAGGCCCGGGAGGATCGCCTGGCTCAGCTCTACGATGAGGTGGAGCACGATATGATGGTATGTGGGGCTGGGGGCACTGGGGAGTGGGAAGGAGCTGGGGGGCAGCCTGACTCCCTGCCTCTTTGGGTCCTCCAGCTGCTTGGAGCCACGGCCATCGAGGACAAACTGCAGCAGGGGGTCCCTGAAACCATCGCCATCCTGACACTGGCTAACATCAAGATCTGGGTGCTGACGGGGGACAAACAGGGTGAGCAGTGCTGGGGTGCGGGTCTGGGCTGGCTGGAGATGAGGCTGTTTTCCTGGGGCAGTGGGACATGTGCTCCTCCCCGGGCTAGGCCTGGCTCAGCCCCTGGTTTCCCATGCCCAGAAACAGCCGTGAACATCGGCTACTCCTGCAAGATGCTGACAGATGACATGACCGAGGTGTTTGTGGTCACAGGCCACACTGTGCTGGAGGTGCGAGAGGAGCTCAGGTGAGGGCTGGGGGCAGAGGACATGTGTGAGGCTGGCATGGGGCACAGCTGCATGCAGGGAGCTGGGGGATCCAGAAGGGCCCTCACTCGAGGCCCCCTGACCCTTCTCCTCAGGAAAGCCCGGGAGAAGATGATGGATGCATCACGCTCCACAAGCAATGGCTTCTCCTACCAGGAGAAACTCTCCTCTTCCAAGCTCACCTCTGTGCTGGAAGCCATCACTGGTGAATATGCCCTGGTCATCAGTGGGCACAGCCTGGTAGGGACCTGGGAGCGTGGCTGGATGGGGCACAGTGCTCGGTTCTGGGCTGTGTCCCCAGTGTCCTCCTGCTCTTCTTGCAGGCCCACGCGCTGGAAGCTGACATGGAGGTGGAGTTCCTGGAGACGGCGTGTGCCTGCAAGGCTGTCATCTGCTGCCGTGTCACACCCCTGCAGAAGGCCCAGGTGGTGGAGCTGGTGAAGAAGTACAAGAAAGCTGTGACCCTGGCCATCGGGGATGGCGCCAACGATGTCAGCATGATCAAGAGTGAGTGCCAGGGCCGGGGCAGCAGCAGGAGGGACAGATCCCCCCTTGCACCATCCCATGGCAGCCTCTGCCCTTGCCCCTTTGTGCCCTGCAGGAACACAGTCCCAGTGGGGAGGTGCCAGCCCTGCTCCCTGTGCTCCCGGCAGAGCCCTCCTCACCCCACGTGTCTCTTCCCTCCACAGCCGCCCACATCGGGGTGGGCATCAGTGGGCAGGAGGGCATCCAGGCAGTGCTGGCCTCCGACTACTCTTTCTCCCAGTTCAAGTTCCTGCAGCGCCTGCTGCTGGTGCACGGACGCTGGTCCTACCTACGCATGTGCAAGTTCCTCTGCTACTTCTTCTACAAGAACTTTGCCTTCACCATGGTCCACTTCTGGTTTGGCTTCTTCTGCGGCTTCTCGGCACAGGTGGGTTGTTGGCTCCTCACGCTTGGAGTTGGAGAGGGTTTGCCCACAGGACCCCTCTGCTCTGAGGCATGCCCCCGTCCCCAGGCTCCCAGTGGGGGCCTCATCCTGCACCTGCAGGCACAGCCTGGGATCCCTCCGAAGCGTGGCAGCATGTGGTGGGCGTGAGGAGCCCGGGGCATTGCACTGCTTGGGGTGGGCACAGGGACAGCGGGGTACAGAGCAGTCTGGTGTCCCCCTGAGCCCTCCATTCCATGCAGACTGTGTACGACCAGTACTTCATCACGCTCTACAACATCGTCTACACGTCGCTGCCCGTGCTCGCCATGGGGGTATTTGACCAGGTACAGTGGGGAGCAGTGCAGGGGCTCCCTGGGTGCACAAGTTGCTGGCCCCTGTGTGGCCCATCTGCAGGAGGAAGGGCTGCCCGGGTGCCTGGGCTGAGCTGACCTTGTCTGTTCACGGTCAGCGGTGAAGGCTGGCCCAGCCCCAGGGAGCAGGTTCTGCCTGCCTGGGGCTGCAGGAAGGTGCCCAGTGTGCCCTGTGTCCCCAGGACGTGCCAGAGCAGCGGAGCATGGAGTACCCCAAGCTCTATGAGCCCGGACAGCTGAACCTGCTCTTCAACAAACGGGAGTTCTTCATCTGCATCGCCCAGGGCATCTACACTTCTGTCCTCATGTTCTTCATCCCCTACGGTGTCTTTGCTGACGCCACCCGCGATGATGGAGCTCAGCTGGCTGACTACCAGTCCTTCGCTGTCACTGTCGCCACCTCCCTCGTGATTGTCGTCAGCGTGCAGGTAGGGACATGGCTGCTTACAGGGAGCTGGCAGGTAGGGATGTGGCTGCTCAGTCTCTGCCCCTCACCTGCAACACGAAGAGCTGCTGAAGGCTTGGGTCCCATCCTGCCCCACGGCCATGCTCCGTGCACCACGGCTGCTCCCTGAGCCCTGCTTCTTCCTTCCCCTCTCTACCAGATTGGGCTGGACACGGGCTTCTGGACAGCCATCAACCACTTCTTCATCTGGGGCAGCCTCGCCGCCTACTTCGCCATCCTGTTTGCCATGCACAGCGATGGACTCTTCCAGATGTTCCCCAACCAGTTCCGCTTTGTGGGTGAGTGCCAGGGGAGCTGAGCGATGCACCCCACCCAGCGGCATGCTACACCAGCCCAGCCCTGCCTAGCCTCATGCTCTCCCCCCCAGGTAATGCACAGAACACGCTGGCTCAGCCCACAGTCTGGTTGACCATCGCCCTCACCACCGTGGTCTGCATCATGCCCGTTGTGGCCTTTCGCTTCCTCAAGCTGGACCTGAAGCCTGAACTCTCAGACACGGTGGGAGCACGTGACCATAGGGGGTGGCCATGGGGGGATGTCCTCTTCCCTGGGGGTCCCTGACGTGTCCCCGGTGCTGTCCTCAGGTGCGCTACACTCAGCTCGTGCGGAAGAAGCAGAAGACCCAGCACCGGTGCATGCGGCGTGCAGGGCCTGTGGGCTCCCGCCGCTCCGGCTACGCCTTCTCCCACCAGGAGGGCTTCGGGGAGCTCATCATGTCCGGTAAGAACATGCGGCTCAGCTCCCTGGCGCTCTCCAGCTTCACGGCCCGGCCCAGCACCGGCTGGATCGAGACCCTGCGCAAGAAGAAGGGCAGCGACAGCAGCACTGCGGGCAGCCCCAGCAGCGCCGCCAGCAAGACTCTCAAGGTGTGAGGCTGGGGAAGGGGGTGCCACGTCCCCTCCCATGCAGCCAGGGATCCCCCTTCTCTCGCAGTGCCCTGGGGGGGCCCAAGCAGGAGGACAGAGGCCATGTGTGCCCCTGAGGTGGTGGTGGAGTTTGGACTGTCATGGCATAACCAAAAAGTCCTTTTTCCCCATCCCTGGGAGGGATGGATGCACGGACGCTGCCCCTGGCAGCCCCCCTGGGCTGCTTCTCTGTCAGTATTCACCTCCACGGAGTGCAAGTACCCCATCACACGTGAATGTATCATGCCAGAGACACCGCCGCGGGCAGGCACAGGGGGGTTGGGGTGCTGTGACAGCAGCCTCCCTCTTCCCTCTCCCCCCCGGGTCTTCTTTTTATATCAAAATAGAGAAAAAAAAAACACCAAAAGAAACCCACAAAAAAACCACACAAAACCGACAAGGAAGGACAAACTCCTCGACTGCTTCGCTCTGTGTTGCACACGGTGATGGAGAGAGCGGGGGAGGCCGTGGCCGGGGGCGCTCCGGAGCCGCGGGATGGGCTGGGAAAGGGGAAGCGCTCCCCGGGTCCTTCCCTGTCTCTACGGGAGCAGCCGCCGTGATTCACTCCCACGCCCAACACCGGGCTCTTGCACAACCCTCAGCCTCCGCTTCCTCCCTGCTCTTCCTTCCCGCGCCAGCTCCCGGGGTCCCCACCGGAGGATCCCGGGGGGGGGGGGGGGGGGGGGGTTGGGGGTCTCTGTGATACCAAAGAGGAATCCGGTTCAAAACGGGCTCTGGCTTGGCCTGGAGTCGATTTTTCGGGAAGTTCGGGAGTTTCTTTGTGTCGGGGTGGGGGACGCGAGGATCGGGGAGTCTAATTTATTACACGTTTCTATAGTGCGGGATTGTATCAAAATCACGGGACTGCAGCGAGAAAAAATGAACCAAAACCCAGCGTTTTCTATATAAAAAACAACCGCAAAGTTGTGCGCAACCTCCGCTGTGTCCTGCGGGGGGGGGACGGGTACTGGAGGCGGCCGCAGGTGCGGGACACCGGGAGTACAGAGCGTGTTGGGGGGGGACGGGAGCTGCTTTCCCCCCCCTTCCCCCGGTGCTGGCCCCGCCCCGCCCGGGCGCACGTGCTGGAGCCGCCCCCGTTCCCCGTCCCGTCCCGTCCCGTCCCGGTTTCACAACCGCGGGCAGCGGCCGCACCGCGCGTGGCTCCGCCGATGTTCTGCTGCCCGCAGCCGCTCATCTTCTTCCTCCTCGCTGCCGCCGCCGCTCCCCGGCGGCCCTGCGGCCCCTTGGGTGAGTGCGACCGGGAGGGGGGCATGGAGCAGGCGGACACCGGCCCCCCACATCACCACCCCTCCGGCAGGGCTCCCCCCCACCGGTACCGGAGCCATGGGAGAGATCAGCACCGAGGGCTCGTACTGGGTGCTGGGGGGGTGTCCGGTACTGGGGGTGCTGGGTGGTGGGGGTGCTGGGTGCTGGAGGGTGCTGGCGGGTGCTGGGTGCTGGAGGGTGCTGGGTGCTGGAGGGTGCTGGGGGTGCTGGGTGCTGGCGGGTGCTGGGTGCTGGGGGCTGCTGGGTGCTGGTGGGTTCTGGAGGGTGCTGGGTGCTGGAGGGTGCTGGGGGTTGGTGGGTGCCGAGCGCGTTCCCGGCAGCAGGAACAGCAGCTCCGCGTTGGTTGTTGACCTTTGCAGAGGGAGCCGGGAGTGCTGCCCCGGGCGGCCTCCCCTGGACCCGGACCAGCCTGGGCCTCTGGCCTGGTGCCACCGGCAGCCTGGGCCGCTTTAACCCCCCCAGCGCCGGAACCCGGCATCCCCGGATCCCCCGGTCCCAGCCGTGGCTCTCCCGGTGCTCCTCTCCCAGCGCTGCCAGGCTGGGTCCCACCACCTGATGCTGGGGGGGGGGGTCCCGTGTGCCGGGGGGAAGTCCACATTGACCAGCTCGATGCGGAGTCGCTGACTCAGCAGGAGCTGCCGCTCGGAGCCTCCTGCAAATATTGACTCTGAGCAGTGGCGCACGGGGAGCAGGCGGGGGGGGGGGCACCCCAAGCACTGGGGACCCGCTGCGGTCTTGTCTCCATTGCCGGGACGTTCTCTCCCCCGCAGGGCTCTCCCAGGACACGGTGCTGGGCCGCCCCGGGGCCAACATCACGCTGAGGTGCTGGGACGAGGGTCCGGGGAACGTCACCGTGTCCTGGCGGGCGGAGGAGCGGGGCCGGAGCCAGCGGCTGCCCGCGGGGAACGCGCTGCCCCTGCACCGCCTGCGCCACGAGGACGCGGGCACCTACAGCTGCTTCGTGGGGAGCCACCGCCTGCGCTCGCTGCGGCTGCTGGTGCAAGGTGCGTCCTCGCCGGGGCACGAGCGGCCCTCGCAGCACCGCCCGGCGTGGGGGGGTCCCCAAGCGCCTCCCTGCTTTGCAGAGCCCCCCGAGACCCCCCGCGTCTCCTGCTACCGGCGGAGCCACGACCACGACGTGCTGTGCGAGTGGCCGCTGCGGGCAAAGCCGTCCCCGGGGACAAGGGCAATGCTCTGGGTGAAGCAGAGGTGAGGGAAGCCCAAGCACCTACACGGGACCCCACAGCACGGCAGCTTCCCCGGGGGCTCTGTCCCTGAGGCTGTCCCATGCGTGCCACAGCCCCGGCTGAGCCACCCGCCCGCAGGTTCACGGCTGAGAATGCCACGGAGCAGCGGTGCCGTTTCTTCTCCAAGGCACAGAAGTTTGTTTGCCGGGTGAAGGTGCCCCGCGGGACCGAGGACACCAAACCCTTCCTGGTGTCCACGTGCGTCAGCAATGGCGCTGGCAGCGCAGCCGGCGAGGACAAGATCATCACCCTCAATGGTGTCTGTGAGTGCTGCTCGCTTCTTGACGGGGTTGGGGGTGGCTGAGCAGCTCAGTGCCAGGACCTGATCCCCCTGTGCCCCAGCAGTGAGGCCCGATCCCCCCCTCAATGTGACGGTGACGGCTCTGGAGAAGGCACCGCAGCGGCTGCGGGTGAACTGGTCCTACCCCTTATCCTGGGATCACCGCTTCTACTGGCTCCGCTTCCAGGTCCGCTACCGCCCCGAGCCTGCCCTGACCTTCAGTGAGGTGAGACCCTGGCCCAGCTGCCCATGTCCATGTCCCCAGCCCCATGCTGCCCGTGTCCCCAGCCCCATGCTGCCCATGTCCCCAGCCCCGTGCTGCCCGTGTCCCCCCCCAGGTTGATCAAGTGACAACAACATGGCTAGACATCCATGACGCATGGCGGGGCCTGCGGCACGTGGTGCAGGTGCGAGCACAGGAGGAGTTTGGACACGGTGCATGGAGCGAGTGGAGCCAGGAGGCAGTGGGTGCCCCATGGACAGGTAGGAGGGGGGGACATGTGGCCCTGAGGCTGGGGGTTCAGTACAGGGTGTCCCTATCACAACCCCCCCCATCACTTTGCAGACCCCAAGGACCTTAACTCTGACATGGGATTCTTCAGCTCCCAGGTAGGGCTCAGCCCCAGGGGAACATGCCGCACTCTTATCTGGGTCTTGTGTCCCTGTGTGGAACAAAGGGACATTGGTGGGGGGGAGCTGCCCCATCCCAAAATGCCCCCCCTTGCCTTCTCTTGCAGTTCCCTATGGAGGATGGCACCTACGGGCTCACGCTGCCCCCCGAGCTCTTTGCGGAAGATGGTGCTGATGGCACTGGTGGTGAGGAGGAGGCCCTGGGGTGGCAGTGGGGTGGCCGTGACCCCCAGGTCCCTGATCCCCACAATGAGCCCATCCCCTCCTCTATGCCCAGGGCCCATCATGGAAGCCAGTGCCCGCTCCACAGCATCACCTTACGCCTTCCTGGTGGCCGGAGGGAGTCTAGTCCTGGGCATTGCCCTCTGCATTGGCATTGTGCTGAGGTGAGTGCCTGGGGGGGCACAACACGACTCGGGGCAGGGGGGCTCCACTTTACCCCCCACGACCTGGGCCCTCTGTTCCCTCCTGCAGGTGCCGGCAGCTCTGGCGGATGGGGGGGTGGCGGGGGGCGAAGCCAGAGGGGGAGGGGCAGCACGTGCTGGTACCCCTGGGCTCCCCCAGCCCCCCACTCAGTGACACCCCCCTGCTCTCCCCACCCTGCTCCCCAGCCCCTGGGGGGCTCCACGTCACCAGCCTGGACTACTTCTTCTCAGGGCAGTAGCTGGGCTCTGGATGAGCTGTTGGGCACTCGCAGGTTGGGCTGGGGGATCCCTGGTCCTGGGGGGTCCTGGGGCTTAGGATGTGGCCCTGGGAGCAGCGTGCCCCCCCCACTATCCAGAGATGTGAATGTGTCCCCAAGTCCCATGGCTGGGAGAGGAGATGGGGGGGGGGCAGATCCGCACCCTCTCTACAGAGACTGGCTGGGGGAGGGGCCAAGCTGTGTCCCAGGGGCAGCTCTGGGGCCGCAGCCAAGCTGGGGTGGCTGCACTGGAGCGTGGGAGCTGGGCTGGGCTGTGCCCACAGGGATGGGGCTGGGGGGCCCCTGGGGGGGGGCACCGGGAGGGCCTGGCTGGATCAGCCCCATCCCACGGGCCCCCCATGGTGGGGAAATGGGGCAAAACCTGTCTCAAATAAACGCCTTTGGTTTATAATGGAGCAGGTGCGTTGGGGGGGGTCACTGCAGCCAGGGGGGCTGAGGGGAGGTTGGGCTTTGTCCTCATCCCAGTCGAGGCCAAGCACCCCTCATCTATCCCCATAGGTCTTGCTGCGCACCCTAAAGAAGTGGCCATGTTGTGCCCCCCCCCCCATGCTACCAAGTGCCTCCCAGGCTGTGCTCACCCCATGCTGGGTTGTGCGAGGCCCCAGGGAGCTGCAGCTGCACCCAGGCAGGAAACCACAGTGCAAGGGGATGGGGACCGGGCACCCTGGGGACACAGTGTCCCCTCCCGCCAGCCCCACTCTATAAAAAGCCTGGCAGGATGCAGATGAGGGGGGGTGCCCAAAACCGCTGCCCCCCAAACCCCGTGTGGCTTCTGCTGGCACGAATGGGGCTGTTCCCAGCTTCCGCCCTACCAACAAGGCTGGTGCCTATTGCGGAGGGGTGAGGGGTCTGAGCCTGGGGCAGCCCTCCCAGCCCTGAAGCCCTGCTCCACAGCTGGGAGCCGGCCCCACGGGGGCCCAGCAGGGAGAGGGCTGGGTTCCTCTTTTCCCCCTCCAACAGCGCCCACAGGCAGGGCACTGCCCATCCTGGCCCTCTCGGGGCCCCCATCCCTGTGCCACATCACAGTCCCATCCCCATCCCCTGCCCGTTGCAGCCCCCCCCCCCCCCCGGCCACCCGCCTGCTCTCAGCCAACACGTTTATTTCACTGCTCCGTTACACGGCCCCGCCTAGCTGCGTGTCCCCCCCCCGGGTCGGCTCCAGTGCGGGGCAGGCAGGATTCGTCCTGGTGCGAGGGGAGCGCAGGCGGCCGGTGCCCGGCGGCAGCAGCGGGATGGGGCTGCGGGGTCCTTTGAGGACCCTGCCCCACGCCGCAGGGCATTAGTGAGTGCTAATGCAGCTTGCAGTGCACGGGGTGCAGCAGGGCCATGTGCTCGGCCCCCTTGAAGGGCAGCTTCTCGGTGGAATAGTAGTGCACGACCTCGGGGACGCTGGCGAAGACGCCGCTGGCCTGGCTGAGCGTGTACTTGTTGTCCTTGGTCTGGGCCACGATGATGTGGACGCAGCCCTGGCTGGTCCTGGGCGGCCGGTGCGGGGCGTCAGCGGTGCCGCCACCCCCCGGCGCCCGCCCGCCCCGCGGCCGCATCCACCCCTGTTTGTTCCCGTCCCGCTCCGATTGTTTCGGCTCCAGGGGCTCCGCTTCCTCAGGAAGGAAACGCCACCGGCGCTGCCGACAATGCTGGGGAAGGGGGGGGGGAACCGCCACCACCAACCCCCCAGTCCCCCTGCGGGTGCGGGAACTGGTCCGGCTGCTCCCACCCCATCACTGGGGCTCTGCTGCAGTGTCCCCCCCCCCACCAGGGACACACTCCCCCGTCCGGCTCCCCGCAGCCACTCACTTGAGTGCGATGGAGTATTTGCCGCTGCCAGTCTCGCTGGTGCGCACCAGGAACCCGGCCTCCCGGCACGCCTGCAGCCGGCTCTCGGCCTCTGCCCGTGTGATGGCCCCGTGGTACCAGCTGCGGGGGGACGCGGGGGACGCTGAGCAGAGTCCAAGCCACAGGGACCCCCCCCCTCCACCCCTTTCCGTTTCCTGCCCCGGCTCGGCCTCGCCACTCACGGCTGCTTCTCCAGCGCCAGCGCGGGGTCCACCCTCTCCCCTTCGCTGTGCTCGAGGCCTGTCGGCTTCAGCATCTTGGGGGTCCAGCTCTTCTGGCGAAGGTGCTGCCGCGGCGCCTCCTCCTTGGGCCGCTCTGAGCCCTCGAACTGGACTGAGGGGGGGATGACAACGAGAAAAGAGCTTTGGAAGGCGCTTCCCTGCCACCTCCATCCCCACCTCTGTCCCTGTCCCCAGCCAGTCCACCCCACCCTGAATGAGCAGAGACATCTCCAGCTACACCAGGATGCTCCAAGCCCCTGTGTCCAACCTGGCCTTGAGCACTGCCAGGGATGGGGCAGCCACAGCTTCTCTGGGCACCCTGTGCCAGTGCCTCAGCACCCTCACAGGGAAGAGCTTCTGCCTAAGAGCTCAGCTCAATCCCCCTCTTTTAGTGCAAAATCACCTCCCCTTGTCCTGTCACTACAGGCCCTACTAAAAAGTCTGTCCCCATCGCTGTCCTCATCCCCCTCCGCATCCTTGTCCCCATCCTCATCCCCCTCCGCATCCTTGTCCCCATCCTCATCCCCCTCCGCATCCTTGTCCCCGTCCTCATCCCCATCCCCATTCCCTTCCCCTACCTGACAGTGCTTTGACAATTTGCTCCTTCTTCCACTCCCAGGGCTGCTCGTACTCCCCCGCTGGGCGCTCATCGTTCTCGGGTAGGCGCCCATCCCCGGCCCTCTGCCTGCGCTCTGGGGTGCCCCCAGTCACCCCTTCCCCGGGCTCATAGGGAGTGTCGTAGAGCTGTGGCCCCTTCCCCACTGCCTCCTTGCCCCCCGGCCACTTGGCAGGCTCCAGCTTGCCCCCCCCTTCCCCGGGCTCGCCAGGCCCATCCAGCAGCAGGATGGCTTTGACCAAGGGGTCCTTGGAGCCCCGACGGCGGATTTCTGTGGGGAAGAGGGACTGTGCGTCAGGGAAGGGCTGAGACACCCACCACTGCCACCCCAGCGCCTGCCCTTGGGGAGGGACATGCACCCCATGGAAGGGATGCCCCACTGGGAGGTGCTGGAGGAGGACAGGGCCCATCCTCGTGGTATCTGGCCTTCTGTTACCACACACACACCGGTGGGGCCAGAAGGGGTCTATGGCAGCAGGATGCTACACCCCACACTGCAGCTCAGCCCCACGGGAGGCTCCACAGCCCCTGGTCCCCTGTTTCACCCCACTGCGCCGGGCTCTGCCAAATGGCCCCGGCTGCCCCACATGGAAAATAACCATCAGCATCAAAGCTTTTATTTCCAGCTTCCGGCCAAGTCAGTTCCTGTTGTTGTGGCTTAGCTGGGCAGGCGCCACGGCCGGGGGTCACTGCTTGGGGGGCACTGCACGGCACGTACCTGTGATCATCTGCTGCGCGTCATAGGGCTCCATGTACCCGTCGTTCTCACCCAGGCGCTCAGCATCCCGCTGCCCCTTGGTGCGCTTGGCATCATAGGGATCGGCGTAGTCCTCCAGGATGATGACCTGGGGACGGGATGGGCAGCACCAGCCATTGGGGGCTGCTGGGGATCCCCACCGGTGGTGGGGTGGGAGGGGATGGTGGGGATGGCACCGGTGCAGAGCCAGGCAGGATGGGGACAGGGACACCGGGGTCCCACAGGCAGGATGGGGACAGGGACACCAGGGTCCCACGGGCAGGATGGGGATAGGGACACCGGCGTCCCACGGGCAGGATGGGGACAGGGACACCGGGGTCCCACAGGCAGGATGGGGACAGGGACACCAGGGTCCCACGGGCAGGATGGGGATAGGGACACCGGCATCCCACGGGCAGGATGGGAGCTCCTCTGGGGTAGATGGAGCTGTGCCATAGCCCCAGGGGCACCTCTGAGAGGAGCAGCGCCCAGCCCTGTGCACCCCGGTAGTGGGGAGAAGTCTGGGGGGTGGGGCGGGCCTCGGGGACTCTTTTGGGTGACACCCGCACCCCCACCCCATCCCAGTGCTCGGGGGGGGTGGGGGGGTGGAAGGTCCGGCTTCCAGAGCAGCTTTATGTAAGCCTTTGTTTAAGAGCGCCGGGGCAGGGTGTGCTGGCACCCGAGGGGTCGGTTCTCCCCGCTGATGAAGGGCAAGCGGGATGAAGGGAGCTTTGAACGGGACTTGAAGGCAGCACGATGAAAGGCCGGGGTGAGCCGTGCTAATGAGCTGCTGCAGTCCACAGCGGTTAAAGCCGCCCCAGCACCCCCACATTTCCCTCCTTACCGTCTCTGTCTTGGGGGTCTTGCCCTTGTCCTGCTCGGGTGCGGGCGGGGGACCGGGGTACCCCTTCCCGTTCTTCTCATGGGCCTCCACCTTGATGAGGCGGTTGATGTAGGTGCCGCAGGGTTTGGGGGGTCCCTCCGGCGGCCCCCCCTCCACTCGGGAGTTCTTCCGCATCTTCCCGGTGGCGGCTTGGAGCAGCCCCTGCAGGTTGTCCCGTGACAGCCGCCCCCCGCCCTCCTTGCCCCCCCCCGGCCCGGCCCGGCAGCCCCCCAGCTCAGCGCCCGAGTTCTTGCGGCTCTTGCCGAGGCTGCCGCTGCCCGGCCGGGCCCGCTCCGAAACCGTCTTCAGGTTGGAGGGGAACTCCTTGAACCACTTGGCTGCCATGGGGCCGGCGCGGGGCAGGGCGCCGCGGCCCCCCCCCCGGGGCGCTCCGACACCCCACGGCCGCCCCACCGGCTCAGGGCCGGCTCAGCCGGGGGGCGCGGGGCAGCCCGGTTCCCCCCAGCCCTGGGAGCGGGACCCTCGGTGGCCTGGGGCCAGCCCGGGACTTGGGGGGATGCCGGCGCGGGGCCGGGGGGCTCCAGGCGGGACGTGCTGGGGGCTCTTCCGGGCGTGCGGGGGGGGTCCGGCCGGGGCAGCCCCGGGGGTCTCTGTCCCCTGAAAGGGGCCCGGGCGTCGCTGCGTGCTCCGGGGGGTCCGGCCGGGGCCCGTCTCGGGGGGCGGCGGGGATGCGGGTGCGGGTCAGGCCGGCCCTGGGGGCCCCATGCGGCGGCGGCAGCGGGACGGGACGGGACGGAGCCGAAGGGGGCGGTGGGGCCGGCGCTCCCCGCCCAGATCCGGAGGGGGCGGCCCCGGGGGACGGCGCGGCACCGGGCGGGCGGGCGGGTACCGGCCCCGGCAGCGGTGGGGACCCACGGTCAGATCCGCCCCGGGCCAGGGCCTCCGTCCGGCGGCTGCCGGGGGCTGGGGGGCGGCTGATGGGACAGGGGGGGCTTGACCCCGCAGCCGGGCCCCAACACGGACTAAGTGTGTGGAGCCCAGTGGAGAGACCCCACGGACCTTCCTGCATGGACCCTGCTGCCCACCCCCGGGTGAGGACCTCGGAGGCGGTGGGGGAGTGCTACTGACCCGTCTGCAA